AACCAGTGTACCAAAGAGTATTCTGATAATTTTTGGTTCTTAGCTGGAATGTGGGAAGAAGGTAGTTGTTCTTGCATGCAGTTGAAGACAGTTACTGTGATTTTTAGTAGCTAATCAAATGTTTATCTATTTTCTTACCAGTGCTGTTTTGTTTTTATCCTGCTGTACAAAATTATACTGAACATTTTCTATATGTCAATCTGATGACTTGAGTATCACCATTACACTCATTATAAAGATCTTTAGAACCTATCTCGAGCACTAAGTTAGACAATCATGCAGCTCATTTCATTTTTTTTCCTTTTTCCCGATCGCTAAACCACGAAAATAACTGTTCTACTTTGCTTATGGTGCACTAACTCTAAATGATTTTTTAAAATATTTAACGAGATTTTAGTCGTTTCACTTCGCGTGGTAGAACAGTCTACATTATCACCCCTCCAGGCTGAAAGCAAACGGAAGCTTTTGGTTATGTAAGGTTTGTTGGCTTCTCTCTGTGGCCCTCTCTTTCTGCCGGGTCAAAGTCCATGTTGCTGGGGTTTGAATGCCTTAGCGGCATTCATGTGGTATGATGTTCATCTCAGTTTTAGGAAAAGTGGCCCGTTTTCTGAAAAACTTTTAACACATACATGGTTGATTTGTTGCTGCCTTTTCTTTGCTTGGTTTGAATTTGCCTTTTCTCTTTCTAAGGACAGACAGGAAGCGGAAACAGTTTTTTCCCCCCTCTATGTATTTGATTTTTAAAAAATGAATAAACACGTGTTTGCAGAACACAAAGTACATTCCTTGTGTGGATTTGGTGCATGTGCATAACAGGTCTTATCCTTTCCATCTCTTTCCCTCTCTTCTTTTCCAGTCGCTGCATCTCTTTTTTTAATGGTTAAGTTTATTGGCACATTTTAGGGATACAGTACAGTTACATTCATCATTAGGATCTTGTATCTTTACATGATGCATCTTGGTTCTTATTTATTCCCCATTCCCCTGCCCTCCCTTCACCCCCTCCACCCTTCCCTATTTACAAAGACTTTATTTCCGTGTGTTTCCTTTTCTCTTTATTTTTTTTCTGATCTTCTTCTCCTTTGTGAAAAATCTATTTTCATTACCTTTAATTTGTTATTTTGTTAATAATTTGGGTTTCCCATACAAAATAAACAAAGCAATATTTAAGCTTGTGCGTCTGATTCTTTTGCACTTAACATTGCTATCTCAAGGTGCCTCCATCTTCCTTACAAATGACTTGTAAATTCTTAACTGATATTTGGATTTCAGTTTTGAGATTTGTGATGAGATTGCATATTATATGAATGTCTTTCCTTGTGGTTTTGTTGTTCTTGATATCAGACAATATATTATTAAATTTTATGATAAATTTCTTTAAAATGCTTTGCACTTTTTTTTTAATATGCTATAAAGGTAAAGATGTTCTTTAAAATTTTTATGAATATGAGTAAGGTAATAATACATGTGATGCCCCAAATGGTAGTTTAAATTCTCTCTACAATCAGCATTCTGAATTTTGGTTTGTTCAACTGCGAATCAAACTGTATAATTCTATGGATGTTGTTGTTATTGTTCTTGATTTTGAATCACTGTGTGTGTAATCAGGCAAACATTAAAGAACTATAGTAATTAGAATTGACTCAGGTGGAAGTTTGTTAAATAAACTGAGTTTTAGGAAGAATTACATCCCTCTGGTTTTTATTTTGATTGGCAACTGGATTGGGTATTATAATTTGATTTTTCATCCACTCTCATTAATTTCCTCTTCTTCCCCACTTTAACCTATGAGATTATGTGGGTCCTGTATGATTCTTTAGGATTCCCAATTGTGCATATAGTGCCACATTAAGAAGCCATTATTTTTGTGCTCTTGCCTATCTTGTGCATATTGACTTCAAGAAGCAGTTAAATTTGTGAATTTGTTTTTTTGTTTTTTTTTTTGGTGTTTTGAGACAGGGTCTCACTATATAGTTGAGGCTGATCTGGAACTGGAACTCACTATGTAGCCCAGGCTGGTCTCAAACTCACAGTGATACTCCTGTGAATATTTTTCAATAATATTTTAATGAAGCATTAGAAAAGTTTTTCTGTAAGGAGGTACATAGCAAATATTTTCAGGTTTTAGGCCACACAGTCTCTGTGGTATCTACTTGACCACAAAAACAGCCTTAGGCAATATGCAAATAAATAAGCATGGCTGTCTTCCATTAAAACTTTTTGTTAAGAATAGACAATGGGTCATTTGGCATCCATGAACCATAATTTCATAAATACTAGTTTAAAAAATATTTACAAAGTGCCCCCAAATTTATATATTGGGATTTTAATATACAATTTGAGAACACTATAATTCAAATTTTATAAGTAGACTTTAATGGACACATATATAAGTAGTACATTATAAAGTCATTCAGCACTTAGCAAAACATATTGCTAAACAGATACAGCTATAAAGGGAAAACACCTCTTGAGAAAAGTGAGTATAACTAGTATGAGTGATAAGTGAAATCCAACACTCACTGCAATAGAAGTAATTAAGAAAAAGAGCAAGATTGGTTTTTATTAACTTTCCTAAGCATTGTGTAGTTCAGAAATATTCAGATAACAGAAACTGTGCTATGATCAGATAGGGGAATTATGTAAATTACTTAGACTCATTTAAAATATGCCTCATTCTCTCCCTTTGTATTTAATTTCTTTTCTTGCCTGATGGATTTGTTCTTCTGGGCTTTGTGCAGGTGTGAGCCTCATTGTCTTTTCCTAGGATATTATTTAAATTTTTTTGGAGTACTGGTTTGGTATTTATGAAGTTTGTCAGGTGTTCTTTGTCATGAAAATATCTTATTTCTCCATTGATTTTTTTTAAAGATAGTTGCAGGGTATATCAATCTGGGTTGGAGGTTTCTTTTTTTCTTTTCTTTTTTTTTTTAGGGCTTGAAATACTTCACTCTAGTTTCTTGAATTGAGGGTTTGTGTTAAGAAGCCTGCTGTGATTTTGATGGGATTTCCTTTGTATGTTATTTGTTTCTTTTCTCTAACTGCTTTAATATTTTGTTCTTCTGTTGGATTTTGGGAATAGTGACTATTATATGCCTAGGTGTAGATTTTTTTTTATTATGTCTATCTGAGTCCTTTATGTCTCACTTTTCTGAGTGTCAAATTCTTTTCCCTTGCTTGGAAAGTTTTCTGCCATTACTTCTGTGAACAGTTTTTTGTTTTGCCTACTCAGCCATCTCATCTTTGACAAAGGATCCAAACACCCTCACCAGAGGAAAGATCTCCTCTTTAATAAATGGTGTTGCTTGAAAAACTGGGTTTCAACTTGCCAAAGATTAAAACTAGACCTATAACTCTCACCATTCATTAAACTAAAATAAAAATGGCTTAAAGATCTAAACACTAAAACAGAAACACTGAACTGGCTGGGAGGTAGGTTAGGTAGAACTTTTGAAGACACTGGTGTTAGGAAAAGATTTTATGAACAAAACCTCTGGTGCATATGAATTAGCACAAAGAACCAATAAATGGGAATTCATCTTACTAAAAAACTTCTGCACAGCAAGAAAAACCATCAACAGTGTGAAGAGACAACCCACAATGTGGGGAAAAAATTTTATCAGTTGTTTCTTAGACATAGGTGTACTTTCTAGAATATATAAACAAATTAAAAAATCAGGCCTCCCAAAATTAAAGACCCAATCCAAAAACTGGCATCTGAAGTGAACAGATGTGAACAGAACTGAATTTGTGTTTGTGTTCCTTTTCTGAAAAATAATTGTAATTTTTTCTCTAACAAAATAATAATACTTTACTGGATTTTGTTCATTTTTTAACTCTTTAGAAGTACATTTACTTTCTAAATTCTAGTTTTAATACATTTCTTTGTCTTTGTTAGAACTTGTTTGAAATAAAATTGGTTTTCAAATAAGGGTAAAGCTATTTTATGAAAAATAGGTAACATAGAATTGAAGACCACTATTCAAAGGACAGATCCAGGATTTCTGACAATTTTGGAAAAAATAATCAGTCAACCAGTGTTTGCTAACCTAATTTTCTTAGTAGTTATTTATATCTCTTTATGTGTATAGACTTTGTAGCTGAGATATATTTGGCCAATGTAACATTCTTTTCTTCACTAAATCCAGGTCACTTAATATGTTTCTTGGAAATATATAGAAGAATTAAGCATATTCAATGCTTAGAACATGTTTTAAAAGTATATGCAAAGATTTCAGTAGTCATTCGCCATGAAAATTCCATTTCTTATTGCTGTACAAGTCTATGAGTTTCTAAAATAGCACATAGGTCAGGATATCAAGCAATTTTTCAAGGCATTTCACAATAGTTCCAGAACTTTACATTTATTCTTCAAATTAATAGTGAGTTATAGGTCCTGACTTTGATTTCTGCCTAATAACCCATGTTTTCATTTACTCAACGGATGTATCTTGAACCAACTTCATATTCAGAGATTAAGATTTGAGAAATCGGGTATGAATGAATTAGATACATAAAAGTAGCATTCCGGAGGTTAAAAAAAATACCTATAAAGTTCACAATCTGGTAAGCATCATGAAGAAAATGAACATATGACTTTGAAAAGTGTGGCAGTCATTGGATCTAGTACCAAACAACAGATGAGAAGCCCGGAGATTCTTCTAAAAGGAAAACTATGGACCATGACACAGGGTGCTGTAACTCTTGTTTGTTTTTGGGTAGTTTTAGTAAGAGGTAAGAATTTGCTAAGGAATTAAGCCAGCCTACTTCCTAACAGCAGTCCTCTGGGTGGGGGTGACTAAAATAAAGATTTTAAATTCATAGTAAAATAAATTTTCTTTTAACATTAGTCTACAGAGTTTCTCATTTCATTAATCCTATAGATATTTCTCCCAAAGTAACCCTTAATCCACATTTAAACCTTGGAAAACTTGAAGTTCCCTCACCATTCTGCTCTGAATGTGAGAGTGAGAATCAGAGGGAGGCAGGACAGGTGACACCTTCCACCCTGACACCCTGGTGCTGAGCATCATTTGAGTGTAGATGCACCACTTGCTCATCTGGCCCCTGAAGAAGTGACAGGGCCTGGGTCCCATTTTCTGTCAAATTTGGTTGGAGAACAGTGGTTATTGTCTCAAAGCTTGATTTTTTTACTAGACTGCCTTGTCCTGTTCCTTGGGCAGGATGTTTTGTTGCTTTATCAGTGTATGCCTCTTCCATATGCCAGCTTCTCCAGCTCCTGTGATTGCCTATATAAACACGAAGAAAGTCAGAGAATGTGCCATTCCTCAGGTTGCAAGGTCCCTGGCCAATCTACCTCTTCTCTCTCACCTCTAGGTTCATTTCTCAAGTGATTTATGTACTAGATTCCCACTTAGTGTGGTTTCCCCCACGCTTAGTGGGAAGAATAGGAAAAGGTTTACCTATTGCATCTTCTTAGAAGCAAGAATCAGCTAGAGGTATGAACCTTATTACTGACTTATGAGATGATAACATTTTTATTTTTATTTTAGGAGTCTCTTATTTAACACAAAATATTCAGGATAGTCTCAGAAAATAAAAAAAATGTTAATTTCAATACACCTTTATCAATATAATATTTAAGTGAAGTTTAATATTTCTTAGTTTTCTTACCCCACAAGCTGAAGTATTAGTTATGATGAAGCTTCAACACTTCAGTACTTCAAATGAGTCCTTTTATTTTGTTGTGTTTTAGAAACTAATGACAAGTCTTCAATGTGAGTATGCAAAATATCTGATAGGGAATGTGTAAGTGAAGGAAGCCATTTTTCAGCATTCCATTTTTCTTACGGATTGTCTCCTACTTTGCTTTCAACTTGACTTCTCCAAGGAGAAAGACTTTGGTTACTAGGAGAGGACAGAATGAAGGTGAAGTTCACTTTCCTTGCCTGTATACTGGTTTCACCGTGTTTCCTCTGCCTCTATCTATTCTAATGTTATGCTTAACCTTTGTTTTTTTTTTTTAATAAATGTTGAACTTTTTCAGTTTTAAAGTATGTTTTCCTTTCACCTATAACTAACTCTAGAAATAACACACACCTTGCAATTGTGGTAGGGAAATGATTCTCAGTGTCTGTAATGTGTAATACTGCTCAAAATTTAAAGACCGGCTCACAGGGGCCCATAAGAGAATAACAAACACAATTCTGCCTCACTGTTATTTGCCTGAGAAACCAAAAAGCCATGTGTTGAGGGAGACCTGTGGTGAACTGAAAGCATTTTGTTATCCCCAAAGTAAGAAAGAAAGCAGGCTAGCTCTAATAAATTGTCAATGCACCCTAGTAACTATGTCTAATGCCTTTTTAATACTTCTACAGTTAATGGTATAAAGTTCTGTGCAACAAATCCTCTTGATGGAGAACACTCGGATATTTTGTGGAAGAGGATGGACAGTCATGACTTGAGATGGGAAAGAGGCACTGAAGGTCAAGCTTAATGCATAGCTTTTAAAGGAAAATATTTATTTCACTTGTATTTTTATAGAAGTAACAACATAAAACTATGAAAATATATCTTCAATAAATATATTGTAAAACTTTTGTGATAAGATGTGGTCTCGGTTACTCTTGTCATTGCTGGGACAAAACACCATACACTGAATTTAAAGGTGGTGGGCTTTATTTCAGCTCCCACTTCATAAAGGTTTCAGCCCACGATCAGCTGCCTCCAAGGCAGGGTGGCCCAGCAGAGAGACACGGCCGAAGAAAAGGGCTCGTGGTGTGGAGGGCACGAGGCAGTACAGCAGTGAGGCACTGAAGCAGAGAGCTTCCCCTTCCTTTTCATCCGATCCTGGCTACAATTCTTCTGGGTGGTGCTACTCACACTTGGGGGGTCTGTCCCACGAGTCAAACCCAGAACCGTGCTAAACCAATCAGTGGACTATTTTAGTTATCACATCCTTAATCCACATCCGTATACCCTAGATCCAGCCAGCTTTGCAAAGCCCACAGATGAGTAGATGATGTCTTGGTGCCACTGGCACGTGGTTCTTTCTTGATTCTTAACCATGAACATTTCTCTTAATGAATATATCCCGCTCCATCTGCTCATGGAAGAGATTTCTCACAGGTCCTTTTATTTGGAGCTCAGGAACACTGAATGATGTTGCTGTAATTATTTCTGGGTCATGATGATTTGTTATGTTTTCTTTTTCTATGCATTGTAGTTTTGGTAACAGATTGCATTCTTTGTAGTATTATGGCTATGTGTCCTTTTCCTCAACAATTTTACTACAAACTGTCAGTTACATTAGAAAATTACTATTAATTATTTTGTTAATCTTGGAGGCTTAACTAGTTAAACCTAGATAAATAGTACTTGTTTAATGATTGCATGTGGAATTGTAGTAATTTCATTTCCAAATAGCTGCAGAGAAGCAACCTAGTTATTACATTGGTAAAGGCCAGAGTGGTGTAACTGTGTCATGTACTCTATGTCACTGCTGTAAGTGTGCAGAATTAATCCTTGTATTCAAAATAGCCAGCAGAGTAAAATTTCCACTGGGAGTCTGTTAAATGCATATGTGACTCCTTTGCTGTCCCATTTGACTTCACATGTTGGCAAAAATAAAACTGAAAAACATTTCTGAATTTTGTCCAGCTAGGTTAGGGTTAGTGTTGAATTTTGTAATCTAGCAATTTACATTTCTAAAATATTCTGAATCATGTTAAAGGTTCAACTTTTCCCTTAACTTATTAGCTGTCATAGTTGCAATAGTGAACAGAGCGATGAAACAAGTTGAAGTATGGTCACCTCAGATGAATTTCTCTCTCAGTCACACATTTCTTTCCTTTGGACCCAAGTTCCAGACAATGAAATCTGTGAATTCTCAGACAATAGAATAGCTGATTTCTCTTTCGGTAACTACTACAACCAGTACCTCCCAAAATGTCATTTAGTGTGCGTGTTGAATAAAGAAATTCAAATCTGACATACTCATCAAAGAATCAGTAAAAGAGAAGATGAACATTAATGAAAAAAGAAAATTTTAGCTTGCATTAGAAGGATGCTTATCTCTGTTCAAGGAACATTGAAAGAGGCTGGACAGAAAATGTACTTCGCAAGGAAATAATCATCTACTTTTAATTATGTTTAAATTTAGTTTCTTTCCACAGAATCTAAAAAAAAGCTAAAGAAATACAAAACTAAAAGTGATTTATTAGTGTTATGAATAAAGAGCATACTCTGGCCAGTAATAAAAGGTTCAGATTCTTTATTTTCAAATAATAGTTAATACACTATATGAGGTATTTGATTTGCTTAGAGTAGGTCATTATGGAATTCCAGCTATTCAACTATTTTCCCAAAAAGAGCCACCATCATTCACTAAAACCTGGGAGTGCGCTGGGTTAAACAGAAAAAAATCAAACACACAATGAACCCACCTCAGGATTTTAGTAATTTTTGGTTTGTTTCCTCTATCTAGCTCCATCCTCTCCCTTCTCCATTGTGCAGCCCCTGTCCCTTCCTGTCATTCCTTCCATCCTCTTCTGGACCACCTAAACCTAACCCTGACGCTAACCGTGACCCTAAACCTAACCCTGACCTTAATCCTAACCCTAACCCTGACCCTAACCCTGACCCTAACCCTAACCTTCACCCTAACCCTAAATTTAACCCTTCTTCCCTCCCTTACAATTTTTTTCTCTTCCTGTGCATTTCTAACCCCTGCATTTCATTCAGAACAATGCTCATTATTCTTTTTTTAAGTAATAAGGGCTATTCCAGACTTATTAAGTGGAACTTGACCTATAGAAATAAAAAGGTCACCTGTAATTCAGGCTAAAATTGGTAAAATGGTAAGTGTTAAAATCAACAGAGACTGAGAAGAAAATTGAAAAATGGGACATAAAGATTTGCAGACAGGATATTCAAAAAAGATCATGTGATGCCACTCACTAAGAAATCAAATTGATGACCAGAAAATAAAATCAGATTAAGATATATGATGTTTGTAGCGCTCCATGAGACACAAACACGGGACTCTAAAATATAATTTCAGAGGATTATGAAGACTGTAGCAATGCATAACCCTGAAATCCTTTCGCACTACACCAAAAGGTGCCCCATTTTCCTCGAGAAGCTCAGTTACCAAATATCACATGCAGCACAACTGCCTCTTGTTGAAATGAGAGAAACTGAAAATGACATGAGATGCTAAACTGCCTGTGAAAATTGAGGAGCATACTGATTTCCTTTAGCACAGGAAACGTAAAAAGTACCCATTACTTGTAAAAGGAAACTGGGTACATTTGCAAAGTGTGCCCTTTAAGGGATCACAGATATACATATTTACTTATAGGTACATAGCCCCCTTCTTCATGCTGCCCAATCTTGGGAGATTTGCTCGGGAACTAACCAAAAACAAACAAATACAGGAAGTGCATGCTGTGAAGCACTGCCTGTGAAGGTGACAGAGAAGAGCTTTTAAAAAATTACTTTCATTGGCACATTTAAGGTGTACAATATAATGACATTCACCATTGGAAATTTGCCCCTTTACATATCCATATTGGTTCTTAAATTTTCCTCATTCCCCTAACCTCACTTCAACCCCTCTACAAAGATTTGTTTCCATTTCTTTCATTTTCTCATATTAATTCCATTTCCTTCTTTCTTTTCCACTACTCACCACTTCCCCTTCCCCTTTGCAACTTTTCTTCCTTTTTCTCATCGTCTTTTGTAGCTTTTAGTCCTTATCTACTCTGTCAGTTTCTCACAGTAGAGAAACTACTCAGTATTTAGACATGTGTATCATATTTATTTCACTTAAGAGTATCATCTCAGGGTGCAACCATTTATCGATACATGTCTCTAATTTCTCATTCTTCGTGGCTGAGTAGTACTCCATTTTATGAAAAAACAACAACAGCCCACAAATTGTCTTTATCCAGTCACCTGTTGATGGGAAGACGGGATGCTTCTCAGTTTTAGCTATTACAAATTGTGCTGCTATGAACATAGGTGCACATATATCACTGTGTCGTGATTCTTTTAATCCTTGGGGAAGATACCCAGAAGAGGAATTGCAGGATCAAGTGGGACTTTCAATCCTTGATATTTGATATTATCTCCATACAGATTTCCACAGTGGCTGCACCAGTCTACGCTCCCTCCAGTAGTGGAGCAGGGTTCCTCTTTCCCCACAGCTCTGCCAGCATTTGCTATTGGTTGATTTCATGATAGCAGCCATTCTTTCTGGGGTGAGGTAGAATCTCAGCATTTTTTT